TTAGGACTTGGTGTCAAGTCCTTTTTCGGGGTTACTTCCCTTCTTTTAATGCCAATAGGACCAGCTTGAGAGTCACTGGACCTCTGTCGCACAGCATATCTGTCCATAGAGGCCTGTACCTCCCGTTCCTTTTTGACATTCCTAAAGTGTTTCACAACATTGTCAGTGTCACAATTAAACACTTCTTCAGGCTTCAGTTCTTCACTGTCTATGTACTCCTTGAATTCCTGCACATATTTTTCAGCTGCTTTTTGGTCCAAACTGGCAGCCTCACCATGCCTTATCACACTATGTATGCCACTATGATTCTTAAATCTCTCAAACCAACCTTTGCTGGCCTTAAATTCACTCACATCACTAGTTGCAGGCATTTTTCTAATTAAATCCTCATGCAGCTTATCCACACCAATAACAGTCTCTAAACTTCTTCTATCACTTGCGATCTCAGTTTCGAAAACATAGTTGCACCTTTGGCAAGAACAGATTCCTTGATTGCCATTTTCTTGGCCACAATAGTAGCGATGGTTGATTGGGGTTTTGTGTATAACCTGGCCAGCTCGGAGACACACACTCCACTTTCATACTTAGCAATGATCTCTTTCTTCATATCCATAGTAATTCTCACCCTTTATGCTGTAGGGTTGGCACTAGCTTTCTTGGGGCCCATGGTGGCTTATTTTGGAGGTGCAATCACTAAAAACGCTGTGATAATATGAAATGTTCTGATTGTATGTTTGGATGGGACTGCGGTGGCTGGCTGGCTTGTAAACACTGGCCACAAATGGACGCGTCTCAGACGGAATGAATCGTGTTGGTAGAGTTTTTTAGCGCTAGTCGAGGCAAAATTTTTGCGTTAAAATGTACCGCTAGTCGGATTTAACGTTAGACGATGCCATCATTGGTTGAGGGTCCACTGTATACACACACACACACACACACACACACACACACACACACACACACACACACACACACACACACACACACACACACACACACACACACACACACTCTCTCACACTCTCTCACTGCTCATAAAAAAAATGATGGGGATTTGAGGAAATGGAAGGCATGGACATGATTGGAGAAAGAGACTAGTAGGTACAATTCAGTCTGGAGAACATAAAGTAGTCATTGGAGTGATGTATAACCCACCACAGAACTGCAGGAGGCCAAGAGAGAAGTACGAGGAAAACAACAGGGTGATGGTGGACACACTGGCTGAGGTGGCAAGAAGAGCTCACTCAAGCAGAGCAAAGTTACTGGTAATGGGTGATTTCAACCACAGGGAGATCAACTGGGAAAATCTGGAGCCACATGGGGGTCCTGAAACGTGGAGAGCCAAGATGATGGATGTGGTACTTGAAAACCTCGTGCATCAACATGTCAGGGACACTACCAGAGAGAGATGGGAGGATGAGCCAGCAAGACTGGATCTTGTGTTCACCGTGAGCAGTTCAGACATTGAGGATATCACTTATGAGAGGCCCCTTGGAGCTAGCGATCACGTGGTTCTGAGCTTTGATTATATAGTAGAGTTACAAGTGCAGAAGGTAACAGGAATTGAATGGGAAAAGCCAAACTACAAAAGGGGGGGACTACACAGGTATGAGGAACTTCGTGCAGGAGGTTCAGTGGGACAGAGAACTGGTAGGAAAATCAGTAAACAAGATGATGGAATATGTAGCAATAAAGTGCAAGGAGGCAGAGGAAAGGTTTGTTTCCAAAGGAAACAGAAATAATATGAAGACCAAAGCGAGTCCTTGGTTTACACGAAGGTGTAGGGAGGCAAAAACTAAGTGCACCAGAGAATGGAAAAGGTACAGGAGGCGAAGGACCCAGGAAAATAAGGAGATTAGTTCTAGAGCCAGAAACGAGTACGCACAGATAAGGAGGAAGGCCCAGCGACAGTACGAAAACGACATAGCATCAAAAGTCAAGTCTGACCTGAAACTGCTGTATAGCCACATTAGGAGGAAGACAACAGTCAAAGACCAGGTGATAAGGCTGAGGAAAGAAGGTGGAGAGCTCGCAAACGATCAAGAGGTATGTGAGGAGCTCAACATGAGATTCAAGGAAGTATTTGCAGTGGAGACAGGAAGGCCTCTCGGGGGACAGACCAGATGGGGACACCAGCAAGGAATATACCAACAAGTGTTGGATGACATACATACAGATGAGGAGGTAAAGAAACTGCTAAGGGACATCGATACCTCAAAGGCAATGGGACCGGACAACATATCCCAGTGGGTCCTTAGAGAGGGAGCGGATATGTTGTGTGTGTCCACTTACCACAATCTTCAACACGTCCCTGGAAACTGGGCAACTACCTGAGGTATGGAGGATGGCAAATGTAGTTCCCATTTTCAAAAAAGGAGACAGAAAAGAGGCACTAAACTATAGACCTGTGTCACTGACGTGTATAGTATGCAAAGTTATGGAGAAGATTATCAGGAGGAGAGTGGTGGAGCACCTGGAATGGAACAAGAGTATAAACGCCAACCAGCATGGATTCATGGAAGGAAAATCCTGTGTCACAAACCTTCTGGAGTTTTATGATAAAGTAACAGAAGTAAGACACGAGAGAGAGGGGTGGGTTGATTGCATCTTCTTGGACTGCAAGAAGGCCTTTGACACAGTTCCTCACAAGAGATTAGTGCAGAAGCTAGAGGATCAGGCTCATACAACAGGAAGGGCACTGCAATGGATCAGAGAATACCTGACATGGAGGCAACAATGAGTCATGGTACATAATGATGTATCACAGTGGGCACCTGTGACGAGCGGGGTCCCACAGGGGTCGGTCCTAGGACCAGTGCTATTTTTAGTATATGTGAACGACATGATGGAAGGGTTAGACTCAGAAGTGTCCCTGTTCACAGATGATGGGAAGTTAATGAGGAGAATTAAATTAGATGAGGACCGGGCAGGACTTCAGAGACCTGGACAGACTGGACACCTGGTCCAGCAACTGGCTTCTCGAATTTAATCCCGCCAAATGCAAAGTCATGAAGATAGGGGAAGGGCACAGAAGACCGCAGACAGAGTATAGGCTAGGTGGCTAAAGACCGCAAACCTCACTCAAGGAGAAAGATCTTGGAGCGAGTATAACACCGAGCATGTCTCCGGAAGCACACATCAACCAGGTAACTGCTGCAGCATATGGGCACCTGGCAAACCTGAGAACAGCGTTCCGATACCTTAATAAGGAATCGTTTAAGGCACTGTACACCATGTATGTCAGGCCCATACTGGAGTATGCAGCACCTGTTTGGAACCCACACTTGATAAAGCACGTCAAGAAACTAGAGAAAGTGCAAAGGTTTGCGACAAGGTTAGTTCCAGAGCTAAGGGAAATGTCTTGTGAAGAAAGGTTAAGGGAAATCGGCCTGACGACACTAGAGGACAGGAGGGTCAGGGGAGGCACGTTAACGACACATAAAATACTGCGCGGAATAGACAAGGTGGACAAAGACAGGATGTTCCAGGGAGGGGGGACAGAAACAAGAGGTCACAATTGGAAGTTGAAGACACAGATGAGTCAGAGAGAGATTAGGAAGTATTTCTTCAGTCATAGAGTTGTCAGGCAGTGGAATAGCCTAGAAAGTGATATAGTGGAGGCAGGAACCATACATTGTTTTAAGACGAGGTATGATAAAGCTCATGGAGCAGGGAGAGAGGACCCAGTAGCAACCGGTGAAGAGGCGGGGCCAGGAGCTAAGACTCGACCCCAGCAACCACAAATAGGTGAGTACAAATAGGTGTGTACATATGCAATATACACATTACTTGTTTTAAAATGTTTTCATCTTTGGCTAAAAATCAATGGTGAACATATTTATTGTAGGAAGTCTGAATAAATACAGGGTGCAATTAAAAACCAATGCATTGGCAAAACGCCGTGAAGCGAAGCACTGTAAAATGGGTCCTCCTGTACATACCATCTTAGAAACAGACTGAACCATCAAACAAAAGTGCAGTATTTGGCTATTTAGATTTAGATTTCTTGTTTTAAAATTTTATATAATTGTCATGGGTAGGGGCTACACTAGTATCTGGGGAATGGGAGGTAATCAGATTTAATCCAGTTATAACTGATTACTACTAGGCAGAAATCAGACAATTACTTTATTTGTACCAGCTGCCTATACCATGTTAGTTATTTCTTGGGAAAATTAGTTTTTCTAATATCCTCCAAAATGACAATCAATTTTTTAAGGCACAAGCAATTACATCAGTGACAAGAAACGCTTATTACTGCAGCCCAGCGAATCACAGCAAATGTTAACAGATCTAAACAAAGACCATTGACATAGTAAGGTTAAGTTACATTAGGTTATCTTAGGTTGTGTGAGTTGGGTTTTATTAGGTTTAGTTAATTTCTATTTGCACAACAAAATATTTTCTCAGATGTACAGCCAACTTAATACTGTATAATTCAAATTATAATTAAAAGTCGTAAATAGCTAAGGAGCATAATTCATTTATTACTTTTGATATAAAAGGAAAAGGACAGCACCACCTGCTTGGATCAAGAGCCCTTCACCGGCATCAATTAACCTCCCATGAAGACTGACCAACTTGGAAATCATCAGTCATACGTTGCTGCTTAAGAAATTCCCATAAATTATAAAGTTCATGTTAAACTAGAGACAAATACGATTTTTTTGTGTAATTATTTGGTAATCTTTAAAATTCAGGCGTAAATGATGGATTGTCTCTTAAGGTAATGTTGGGGTAGTAACGTCCTCAGAAACTGTTAAATTCCCTTCTTTCCTCTACCTGTATCATATTCTCTTAATATATATAAATATAGGAGCGTTGTTACTTGCCTCTCAATGTAATGTTTGCAGCGATAGTTACTACATCACTTTACTAAACGAAGAAAAATTTACAAAATTGTGAGGTGTTGTTATTGTTAAGGGTTCTAAGGGCCACTGACAGCTGACGCCGTGTCGAGCTCTGCTTCCTCGTGTCAATTATAACCTTTATGTACCTACCTGTGGTTGCAGGGGTTGATTCACAGCTCCTGGCCCCGCCTATTCAGTGGTTGCTACTAGATCCACTCTCTCCCCCCCCTCCCTCTCCACCTGTTCTTAAAGCTATATATGGATCTCGCCTCTTCCACTTGACTCCTGATTGTTACACTTCCTAACAACTGGAAGATTCAATTACAATCTTCAGGGAATCAGGATGATTACGATTGTCTTGTATAATAATGTGTGTAAATTACCTAGGATAACCCAAAAAAAATCAATGACTTATTTCCATTGGAGTTCTAGTAGTATAAAGTAGTACAGCAAAAAAAAATCAGTCGTGATTATTAACGTTAAAAGCAAAATAAACTGAATAAATAAACTGAATAAATGGAAATAAGTTAGACAGTCCTCGATGACGCACTGACTTTCTTGGGTTATCCTGGGTGGCTAACCCTCCGGGGTTAAAAATCCGAACGAAATCTTATCTTATCTTATCTTATCAAATACATGAAAATAAAATATATGAGCATTAAAAAGAAAAAATCTATAATTACGCGAATTTTGAATAAGCCAACAGATAACTCCCTTTCTGTAGTTTCATTCATTTCGTACTTTATAGCTCGTTTCATAAACTGTATTATAGTAAGATTGACCTTAACCTGCCAAGGAACCAGTTCCAGGTTAGGTAGAGATTTGCCGGTACTTCCGGCCAGGGTCACCAGTTCCAATAGTATGTAGGAGTAGGTGTTTGTGGTCTGGCTAATTGTCTTTGTAACTTGTTCAGCTATTAAAACTTTGCTGCCCAGTCCCTGTAATCTTTTTAGCTACCGCCCACAGGATGGGTATGGTGTACATGTTGAAGATAAGTAAGTTTATTCAGGTATACACAAGTACAGTTACATAGAATTATCATACATAGCAGCATATGTGTAGAGAACCTGGGATAACCCAAAAAAGTCACAGAGTGACTTATTCCCATTGGGGTCCTTTTACCTTATTATAATAATATAAAGGCAATAATATTTTCTTATTATTCTATAATGAAGATAACATCTTATTATCATACTAAAAAGACTATCTATTACCGTAAGTAGTGTAATGTGTTCTCTTCCCCTAGTACCAGACTGGTTTTGGTTCCTAACCTTCACGAAATCTTTTAAGATATCCAGAACACTGAGAATTTTTTTTTTAAGTGTGATTTACATTCAGCTGTTTATCTTCTATACATTGTTTAGCATTTCTATTGCAAATTTATCTTGGCCTACATGTTCTCTTGGACACATATTCAGCATGATTTTCACCATCTTATTACTGGTAATTTGAAGTTTCTCCAGTTTTTACTTAGAGCAAAGCACAGTGGAGAACTTGAATAATCTACTCGACATTGTATATATCCCCAATGGAAATAAGTCTCTCTGATTTTTGGGGGGTTACCCTACTTAAACAAGATGGGTCCTACACAGATGACAGCAAGGAAATGAGTGAGCTACTCAAGTCCCAATATGACTCAGTTTTTAGCAAGCCGCTAACCAGACTGAGAGTCGAAGATCAAAATGAATTTTTTATGAGAGAGCCACAAAATTTGATTAACACAAGCCTATCCGATGTTATCCTGACGCCAAATGACTTCGAACAGGCGATAAATGACATGCCCATGCACTCTGCCCCAGGGCCAGACTCATGGAACTCTGTGTTCATCAAGAACTGCAAGAAGCCCCTATCACGAGCCTTTTCCATCCTATGGAGAGGGAGCATGGACACGGGGTCGTCCCTCAGTTACTAAAAACAACAGAACATAGCCCCCACTCACAAAAGGGGGCAGTAAAGCAACAGCAAAGAACTACAGACCAATAGCAACTAACATCCCATATCATAAAATCTTTGAAAGGGTCCTAAGAAGCAAGATCACCACCCATCTAGAAACCCATCAGTTACACAACCCAGGGCAACATGGTTTAGAACAGGTCGCTCCTGTCTGTCTCAACTACTGGATCACTACGACAAGGTCCTAAATGCACTAGAAGACAAAAAGAATGCAGATGTAATATATACAGACTTTGCAAAAGCCTTCGACAAGTGTGACCATGGCGTAATAGCGCACAAAATGCGTGCTAAAGGAATAACAGGAAAAGTCGGTCGATGGATCTATAATTTCCTCACTAACAGAACACAGAGAGTAGTCAACAGAGTAAAGTCCGAGGCAGCTACGGTGAAAAGCTCTGTTCCACAAGGCACAGTACTAGCTCCCATCTTGTTCCTCATCCTCATATCCGACATAGACAAGGATGTCAGCCACAGCACTGTGTCTTCCTTTGCAGATGACACCCGAATCTGCATGACAGTGTCTTCCATTGCAGACACTGCAAGGCTCCAGGCGGACATCAACCAAATCTTTCAGTGGGCTGCAGAAAACAATATGAAGTTCAACGATGAGAAATTTCAATTACTCAGATATGGTAAACATGAGGAAATAAATCTTCATCAGAGTACAAAACAAATTCTGGCCACAAAATAGAGCGAAACACCAACGTCAAAGACCTGGGAGTGATTATGTCGGAGGATCTCACCTTCAAGGACCATAACATTGTATCAATCGCATCTGCTAGAAAAATGACAGGATGGATAATGATGAACCTTCAAAACTAGGGAGGCCAAGCCCATGATGACACTCTTCAGGTCACTTGTTCTATCTAGGCTGGAATATTGCTGCACTCTAACAGCACCTTTTCAAGGCAGGTGAAATTGCCGGACCTAGAAAATGTACAGAGAACTTTCACGGCGCGCATAACGGAGATAAAACACCTCAATTACTGGGAGCGCTTGAGGTTTCTAAACTGTATTCCCTGGAACGCAGGAGGGAGAGATACATGATTATATACACCTGGAAAATCCTAGAGGGACTAGTACCGAACTTGCACACGAAAATCACTCACTACGAAAGCAAAAGACTTGGCAGACGATGCACCATCCCCCCAATGAAAAGCAGGGGTGTCACTAGCACGTTAAGAGACCATACAATAAGTGTCAGGGGCCCGAGACTGTTCAACTGCCTCCCAGCACACATAAGGGGGATTACCAACAGACCCCTGGCAGTCTTCAAGCTGGCACTGGACAAGCACCTAAAGTCAGTTCCTGATCAGCCGGGCTGTGGCTCGTACGTTGGTTTGCGTGCAGCCAGCAGCAACAGCCTGGTTGATCAGGCGCTGATCCACCAGGAGGCCTGGTCACAGACCGGGCCGCGGGGGCGTTGACCCCCGAAACTCTCTCCAGGTAAACTCCAGATACTTTACACACATGCTGCTATGTATGATAATCTATGTAACTGTATTTGTGTATACCTGAATAAACTTACTTAGACATGGGTTCCTGCGAGCCTCAGTAGGTAGGCACTGTGCCCGTCTCTGGAGCAGCTTTAACCTAGCATTTACTTTTTGTACTGCATTGTTAAGTTTATTCAGGTATACACAAATACAGTTACATAATTATCATACATAGCAGTATATGTGTAGAGAACCTGGGATAACCCAAAAAAGTCAGTGACTTATTTCCATTGGGATCCTTTTAATACCTTATTATTATACAATGTAGGAGATATCTTATTATTATACTATAAAGGATATATACTAAAAAGGTGAAAAGAGTTATTTACATTTACATGGGTGTTAACTAAAAATATATAAAAAAAATTCATTGTCACTACATTCATTAGGTACCTTTTGGCTCTTTTCTTGAACTGGTTCATGCTATGACTGGCTTTGACATGTGCAGGCAGTCTGTTCCATTCCTGCACATGTCAAAGCCAGTCAAAAAGAGAAATGGTTATAACTATGACCATAATTTTTAAAGGGGTGGACCAGTAAGCCAGTGGAAGGCCTCGGTCAGATGACCATAAGCTCCAACGGAGGGTCATCATATGACTAAGACCGCGTCAGGAAACCACTTGTCCCGTTTCCTGACAAACCTTACCTAACCTAACCTTTCACTGTCAGTTCTGACAGGCATGGGTTATGTTGTGATGGCCTCTACTTACATTGTACATTAAAAGCTTTTAACCCTTTTCAGTTTTTCGCTAGAGTATGGCTTCTGTTTTCCCTTAGCGTAGCAATGGTTGTTTCATCAGCAGTCACCTCGAGTATTTTTGGGTTATCCTGGGTTCTCTACACATATGCTATGTATGATAATCTATGTAATTGTATTTGTGTATACCTGAATAAACTTACAGGATTACAGAGGCCACAGTGGGTCTCTGATACATCACTAGATATAGTCCTTTCAAATTTTACAATTACTTCACATAATTGTCCAAAGTACAGTAAAGATATACTGTAGCGTAATTTTATCCTTGTGAGGCTCTAGTTTGTGACAGAACATAGCTATAAGTAAACCTAAGTACAGTTACGCAAATTTAGGTGACTACAATTATCACACGTAGGATAACCCAAAAAGAGTCATACGTAGTGACATTTTCATTGGATCCTTGTAATATCTATGGATCTTTACCTGAAATAAGGCGTTTGCACGTCACATTTAAAAGTTGGGCGATGAAAGGAAAGAGAAATTCACTTTTGAAAAAAAAAAAAAAGTTACGTGGCTCCCCCTCACCTAAACCCCATTAGAGCTGGACACTAACAACCCCACCTGCATCAATGACCGGCTTCAAAGTAAAACCGTGAAATGTTGACATCGCGAGAAATAGAGCTGATGTATGATGACTGTGTAAGAGGAGAAGCATTTAGTGGAAGTGCTGTTCTGCTTGCTGTGTGTGATGAGGATAAATGTCATAGGGAAAGAATGATGTTTAGTGGTCAGTGTACGGCGAGAACAAGCGTCTTGAGGAATGATGGATGTGCAGAGCTGTGTAAGAGTGTCATGATAACCGTCATGGGAATGATACCCGTGGCCTGGTGGCTGTAGCTCTCGCTTCACACGGCGTCATCCGGGTTCGATTCCCGGCGAGGGTAGAACATTAGGCGTGTTTGTTTGCACCGGTTGTCTTTCCCCGTCAGTAAAATGGGTACCTGGGAGTTAGTCGACTGGTGTGGGTCGCATCCTGGGACAAAACTGACCTAATTTTCCCGAAATGCTCTGCAGTCTTCAAGC